GGTCTATGGGGTGTGTTCTGTTGGGATCTGTTTTGGCTGATGATAGAGGAGTTGGAACAGGAGTTAACTGGCTGGCTTTGTACCCTTAACTATTATGTGGGTTATGGCTAAAAAAGAGCAGCTTGTTTATTGTGTGAGGGCAACGTGCCAAAGAGCAGAATGAGAATGTGTGTAAGCTGCTGGATATAAGCCTACTGGGGACAGCGTTGAATTAGACCTCTTTGGGACGGGTCACATGGCACCATCCAAAAGTTTATTTGAGGTCTGGTATCTCCGCTGCTGAGCGTATGATTTAGAAGTAATGACAGAGTAAACGTTTTCATGGGATGCCATCTGATGGTGGCTTGTCCTATTGCCAATGAACGTGATGGGTCCTAGAAACAAACAAACAAAAACAAAAACAGAACACAACTGGGAGAATCTCCCACACGCCCTGGAGACCACAAGACTGGATCTTAGCAAAGAGCCCGAAATGGCGGTAAGCCCCCGTGTACAAATATAAGTGCCTGGTGGGTGTGAAAACGGCAGCAGCTGCAGATCTCCGCTGGCCTCTGTGCGGGAGTTCGAACACCCGGGATGGGAAAAGTGTATACGTGAGCGTCTGCTGGTGTGAGTCGCGGAGTTACTCTCTGACTGGAGAACCTTCATCTGGACGTAACAGAGCCCGGGGCTCTAGTGGGGCAATAATCGGTGCATATGCCTCGATTTCATGAGACCTCAGGAGCCTTGTGTCTGTAGGAAGCCTGCAAAGTGATGCATTTGGCAGTAGAATGTATCTTTCTGAGGCCGTTTGCTGCAATATGATTAGTCCTCCTTGCTGTTTAAAATGAGCTGTGTCGGGGGTTGGGGAGGGAGGAAAGGAGTGAAATCGGTGACGTTTCCTTAAAAGGTTCCAAACCACTCAGCCTTTCAAGTTACTTTGACATGAGCAACCGGCGTATGTTTGTCAGCTTTGCCCACCTGAGTGTGAAATGATGTTCTATCAAAACACCGGTTTCAGCATTTCCCTCTCCGCTCCTGACATGTGAACCCTGCTGCGGACAGTAACTGCTGCTTTCTGCCCAGGAATTTCACTGATATTGCAGTACAAGTGGAAACATTTGCTCAGTGGTAATGATGGGGTCTGGCTCAAGCAAGCAAGGCAAGGTTGGAAGGCTATGATTGTGAAGGACTAAATAGCATCGCTCGCTGCATTTTTTTTCCCTCCCCCCCCAGTCAAATGATGGAGTCTTAAAGTCACAACGTCCTTTTTGTCAGTAAAACTGCCTGCTTTATGCTATCTAATTTCTCAATTGAAACAGCAAATGACAGTGATACTTATCGGTTAATAGGCAGGGAGGCTGCAAAGAGTAGCAGAGCCAGAGTAACGCAGCACTCTTTATTTATTTATTTATTTATTTATTTAAAAAGCGCACTGAAGATGCTGACTTTAAAGCCGCGGTCTGTAGTAGAATCAGAGGGCTGTTTGTATCTGTCAGGGGAGTTTGGTTTGTTTGTTCCACTGGGCTATTCTGCATTTATACAATATAAAGCTGCGAGGGAGACAGAAGACAGAGAGCTTCTCCCTCCCACCCCTCCGTGTTATTAACATGCAATATTGAGTTTTCACACTTAAAACAGCTGATTTCTCTCTGACCTAGTGACCGTGGCACATTGTCGTTGGAAGAAGCTGTGCCTCTCCAGAGCCACTGGCCTCCCCCTGTCGTTCATTACGAAACGGCTCGCACCAGAACCTAAACTTCCCCACGTCCACCTTCTCTTGCGCCTCTCGGGCTGGCTGCAAGTCTGCATCGCAAACAAAGCTTGGCCCCAGTGAAGAATTGCTCTTCCTCGCTCCTCCTCACTGTGTTTGGTCATGTCCGAAGGGCATGCGTGGCACAGTTTGTCCCCAAGCGCCATGTTTTTGGCACCTTGTGCATTTCAGTTGAGCCTTTCCAGGATTCTAGCCCTGCCATCTTACTTGCTTCTAGTCCAGGGTTCGCCAGTTTTTTCAAATGTCAGCTCTGTTTTTCAAAGAGTTTGGGGGTGGTTGTTTTTTGAGTCTGTCATAGATTAAACAGTTCTCTCTCTCTCTCTCTCTCTCTCTCTCTCTCTCTCTCTCTCTC